ACTTTACAAATGTTTGTATAGTGTAAAATCTTTTTAGAAAAACCCCAGATATTTTCAATGTCTATTTTGAGGAACTTAAAAAACACGCACACCTTACAATATCTTATGGGCTTCTTATTCCTCAAATACTCTAATTGATTGTTCATTGGGCTCACTCAGCCCAAAGTAGAGAGAAACTTTGTACAGACATCATTAGTTTTTCTCCATTTAAAGATTAATCATGAAGAGCTCTGGCTCTTTAATTCTGTAATTTGTATATTTAATGGGCTGCTGCAGAATCTATGACAGTAATTAGCATAGCCTGAAAACTCATTAATACGCAACAACATGATTAATGCAACATTAATGCAAACATGACTGAAGTTATTTGGGTTATGTAGTAAGAAGATTAAAGCTAAAATGTCCTGTTTGTTTTACCAGTAGTGGGTATAATGGGGTGGTAGAAAAAATAAAAACAGGTATCAAATTAGTCATTTCAACACAGCAGAAAGTACTTGGATCTAAATCAAGATTATTTCCTTGATTTGGGAATTTGGATAGAGTACAATTCTATTATTCTTTCATTCACCTTTTTATTTGTTCATCTAGATATTCACCAATATTCCAGCTTATGCACTTTGTAGATGGATGCGGTCAAAAAAGTTTTTGGTGGTCTTGAGATGATGCTATAACACTTTTTAAAAAAATTCTTAACTTATTGTGTTTTTCAAATCTGGCCAACGTTTGTATTATAGAGAACACCTTTAAAATACCACAGATAGATAGATGCCTCTGACTGAATTTCAGCCATCTTACTTTTCCCTCAGCTGATTCCATCCAAAAGGAGTCTTCTGGCCATATACTTTGCCCGCTCATATTGTCTCATACAGAAGCAAACTGGGTCATACTTGTGTACCTCATTGAAATGTGTTCCCTGATCCTTGGGGTGGGATGTTTTTCAAAATGGCCTTTCTAAGGTAATTGTTAAACACACATCCCACAAAGGATCAGAGAACAGCTTTCAAAGGCTGTTTATCTTTGAAAGAGAGAGGTATTATGGTACCTTTGCAAAAATGTAATACATACAGGACAAGACATGACTAGAAAACAGAGACCTACAGAGGCTGTGCTGGTAGTAGGAATAATCCTCACATTCAGTAAGGTAGCATAAGAAAAATCCAAATCAGACTATACATGTTTCTGTTTTAGCCAGATAGTCCCTTGTACAGCTTTTAAACAAATATCATTTAATATATGAGAATCTCAGAAAAGTGTTTTCAAATAAGCATTTACCTTGTGGTAATCTGAAACTTCAAATTCAAGTAAAAGTCCATTACATGTGGGTTTTTGAGTTTTTAATTTGCTATTAAATTAAAAGTAGTGTGTCCACTAGAGAGGCAGTAGATAAATAAAATAAAATAATGTTGAACAACGTGTTGCTATGGAATGATGTCATAACAGTGCAAAGACAAATAATGTAAAGTAATTAATTAAAGATTTAATTATAAATCTTTGGAGTTTTAGGTAGGAGTCAGAACTTAGGGCACAGACGGACTCCTGTCCTCTGAAGATGCCGGCCACAGAGAATGGCAAAACGTTTGAAAGAAAAACCTTCAGAACATGGCCAAACAGCCCGAAAAATTTACAACAACCGTTGGATCCTGGCTGTGAAAGCCTTCGAGAATACATTTTAAGTGTGCTTGATTCTTTGTCATACATACAGTATATACATGCATGCATACATGTTATACATAATGAACTTTGGGCTAACTAAGATCTGTTGAAGACATATTCACTTTTACATTGATGCTTATTAACTATGCTGTTGTAATATCCCCAGCCAGGGTCAGGAAGCTGATGTAGGACTGCCGTCACTCTGATCCCAATCTAAGGAGACCCAGACTTCTCCCCCACCCTCTCCGCCTAGGAAAGAAAGCAAGGAGGTGGACATTAAGGAGTTGGAAGAGTTGAGAAAAGGAAAGGGTCTGAAACATCAAGGGGTAGACACCCGGGATTTAATACAGGAAATGCAAGGGTTAAGCATGTCGGGGTCAACTGGTGGGGATTTGGCGGGAAAGGGAGGTGGCTCGATAGAGGCGGGGGTAGGAGATATAAGAGAGAGGCGGGAAGACATTCCGGGGGGTTGGGAGATGATTTGGGTTCAGGATCCCTGGACAGGAAATGGGAGCAGGTTAAGGTTCCCCATGAGGAAGCAGAGAGGCGCAGACAACAAGGGTTACAACCGCATCCCTCTTATTGGGGTGAGACTGAAGCAAAAGAGTGGAGGTGCCATCTGAGAGAGGATCAGGAAGCCGTGGTGAGAGAAATTGAGGCGAAGAAGAAATGGCATCTCACGGAGCTCCAGAAGATGGGGGTCTTCCCGGACCATGGCTGGCCAGTCCAGGAGAGGGCTCCCCACTCTGGGGTTGGAGCGGAGACGAAGAGAACCTACCACTACTAGGTCTTGAGAGAGAAGAAGGAGAACCACTGGGTACAGAGAAGATTTTATCTGGACCATGGGACTTTGATGAAACCAATCCCTTTGTTAGTAACGTTTGGACACCCTTGCAGTCAAAGTTCAGAGGGCAAGAGACTTTAAACCTAGTTCCTAAAGATGTTGCAGTTAATGTTGAATTGTTAATAAATGAAGACAATGTTGAAGAGTTAAAACCGTCTCATACTTTATTGAATGTGACGGAAGCCCCTGATGTCGAACCCTCACAGCTGTTAATTCTAGATTTTCTGTATATTAACTCACCTTCAGTGCCAAGATAGAATGTCTGTTAAGAAATGGCCAATATAAATAAAGAAATATAAGTAACTAGAAATTAAATTTCTCCACCTTTTCCTCTAGTTTTTTCTTCCTTTTTCTCATTCCAAGTCTCTGAAATGCCACTGAAACATAAAAGAGTTTTTGATTATATCCCCTGTCATGTTTATTCAAAGTCAATTGTCACATAGCTGTGAACAGCTATTTTAATAACATGATTGATGTTCATTATCTCAAGTGAATGTCTTAATATTTGTGAGTACATTGTGATGCACTGCATAACAACCTGTGGCGTGATTAAAGTGTGTGGGTCAAAGGATACTGCTTGTGGCGTGAGGTAATTAGTAGCATTATGTAATAGGAATACATGATACAGTTATGATTCTTTAATTTTTCATATTAGATTCTGCCTACATAAAAAGCTTCTATTACATTATTTTATGTATGGCAAAGGAAGGGGAAAATGAATGTGAAGAAGTTGATTCATTTAATACAGTTGGGTAAAACCCAATAAATTAGGCTGCTGTCTGTTTAGTGTGTTAAAAGGGAATCACAAAGACATAAGTATCAATGTGTATGAAATAAGAATATGTTGTTAATCCTAAGTGCTCTTGTCAAAAACAATATGGAATTTTACAACTAATTTCAATATTCAACAGAGAAGCAATGTAATTGTGTCAACATAGCCTTCATCAAATATTTACTTTTCACTTCCACTGGTATGCCTTTTTGTCACCTAAAAATCGTAACAGTAGGAGATTAGAAGCTGCTATATTTAGCTCCTACAAATATGAATGTTCTATTCTGGCCCAATTTTTAAAAGGTGCTCTCATGGAAAAGTTACTACTGAGATGTTAACAACAGAATGAGCAAACAATAGTCGGGCACAATGAAAGTTGTGTCAAGCTCAACATCTGAAAATTCTGTTTTCCATTTTCATTGAGATTTGCACCTTCTATATTTGGGCATGTGTATGCAGAAACTTTCCATGAAAAAACTTCTAGCAGAAGGCAGAGCTTTCTGTGATTCACATGGTTTTAGTTGTGTACTCCATAGATAATAGGATGTGGAAAGCCAGCAGCCTTACTTGGGTTTTATAACGTTTTAAAACCTATAATGTATTTTCTACTATCATTTTATAAAGGAAAGACTCAAAAGCAGGTTTGGGTCTTACATATATCCTGTATTATTCCTCTCACCTAACAAAGAAGCAAACAATTTAAGTGAATTAGCTGATGTTATTGTAGTGCAAGATTTTACATGTCACTGTGAGATTAAAGAGTAACTTGTGGTAGAAAAGAATGGAGAACAACTGAACAAATAAATATAGTTGATCTTTCCTTTACCAATAATACAGTAGGTCCCCTGTATGCACGGGATCAGCATCTGCAGTTTCACTTGTCCATGGTCTAAAAATATTTGAATTTTTTAGTAATACAGTAGGGCCCCTGTATGCACAGGATCAGCATCTGCAGTTTCACTTATCCATGGTCTAAAAATATTTGAATTTTTTAAAATCCAGAAAAAAAACTATTTTCATATGTATTATCAGAACCGGCCACTAGAGAGAGCCAGTGACCGTGCTATGAATTCTTGTTGTTGAAGAATGCATACCGTGGTCTCTGGTGCCCTCTAGTGCCCTCTAGTGGTCCGTTCTGATAATGCATATCAAAATAATTTTATTCTGGATTTTTCTTTTCTTTTACCATGCTATGTATAGCATTCGCTATTATCTGCAGTTTTCAGCATATGCAAGGGAGTCTTGGAACCAATCCCCTGTGGATGTGGGTGTGGGTGTTCTGCTATACAATAATATTCACATGCTGGCAGTTTAGTTCTTACTTACGGAAAACTTTTTCTAGGTATAGAGTACTCAGCAGTAGTTTAACATTCCCTTCTGGAGAGAATCCTCTGGGATCATGTAATTTGACCAAGGTCACACAGCCTCGTGTCCTCTCTGGACAATCCCTGGATCTTCAGCTGGGCACCAAGCCCAGCTAGGCTTTTCCTGACATACTTTTCCTGAGTTACCAAAACTTGAAGGAGGCAAAACCATGTGATTTTTTTTACAGTATTTTCCAAACAATCATGTAAGTTGGTTCACTGGTATCAAGCACACATTGTGACAATGTCTCTTGAGTTCTTTCACCTAAAACTATAATTCTGGTTTTTCTTTTACCAGATAGATGTATATGTGCATGTTATGAATGAATGAAAAAGTAAGAGGCAAATATCTTCTTCTTTTTTTAAGGTCTTAAAGTGAGCTTTAGAACTACAGAACCTGTTGGTCTAATTTTTCTCTCTGTTTCACCTGGGAATCAAGAAGAATATATTGCACTTCAGCTGCAAAGTGGACGTCCTTACTTCCTTTTTGATCCACAGGTATAGTAAAAGTAGTGAAAAATGCAGTGTGAGTGGCATTTTCACCTTTATTAATGTAATAATTTCCATTCTTTCTCTGCTTGTTAATGGAGACTTTAATGGCTTAATCTGAATTGTAGTGGAATTTTTCTTACCAGACAAGAGTCAACACACCTATGGTTCTTTGGGTAGTGAGTTGCTGGTAGATTATGAAGTTTGACTTATATTTTAGAGATGCAATTCTTTTGCATGAAGTACTGACACTATGGATACATAAAGTAACATCTTCGTAGAGGCTGGCAAAGCTGTAATAAAATAACTGTTGGGTTGTGCAAAACAAGTGCTCCTCTTAAAAATAAAAGTATTCAAGCAGCTAATGGAATAAAAAGCATTTTTTAAAATAAAAGGTCATAATAAATGTCATAAGATGTATTTTGCAAACAATAGCAGAAATTTAGTTTTTGTAAGTTCTCCCCTCCCATTCTGATGCCTCTGTGGGCCAAGTAACCTTTTCATTGCAGGGGAGCTGTAAGGGATTGTGGGACAGGAGGGGGGGAACATGTTTATTACTGAAAATCACCATCAATGGTAAAGTTATTCTGATGGTGACATTCAGTAATCAAAGACTTCACCTTCCTTGTCCCTCAGCCCTCACAGGTTCCTAACAATGAAAGGGATTATTTGTAAACTGTAGGGTCTTTGTGATGAGAGGGGAAAATGTTTAATTTTCAGAAAATTCTCCTGGCTGATGATATACATCCCTAAAAGAAATGAAACAACAATAATGAACATTTTATAGATGATAGACACAATATTCCATGCAGTAAAACAACACAACAACAAAATTAGCTTCGTTTTTTGCCTAGATTCCTTGTGGTTCCTTATCTCAGTGGTCCTCAACCTTGGGCCTCCAGATGTTCTTGGACTACAATTCCCAGAAGCCTTCACCACCATCTCTTCTGGCTAGGAATTCTGGGAGTTGAAGTCCAAGAACATCTGGAGGCCCAAGGTTGGGGACCACTGCCTTATCTGACAGAAGAAACTGGTCACTAAATCTCAGAGGAGATTTTCTTTCTTATGCAGCTCTCATGTGAATGCTGTTTGCGGCTCTCCTGCTGCTGCCAGTGTCTCACAGTTCTCAAGATTCCCCTCTTGGAGGGTTTCCAGTCCATCTAGAGCAGATACTGAGGGGTTGTGTGGGAAGGGTTGATTCACTACCATTGAGGCTTCTTCCATTGGGGTAAGAACCTAGTGGTATCCTTCCCTTTGTTATAATAATAATTATAATATGTGAATGCTGTTTGCGGCTCTCCTGCTGCTGCCAGTGTCTCACAGTTCTCAAGATTCCCCTCTTGGAGGGTTTCCAGTCCATCTAGAGCAGATACTGAGGGGTTGTGTGGGAAGGGTTGATTCACTACCATTGAGGCTTCTTCCATTGGGGTAAGAACCTAGTGGTATCCTTCCCTTTGTTATAATAATAATTATAATCTTATAACTGCAGAGCTGGACTGGA